AATGATCTTCATTAAGGCTATGAGCAATAAAATGATCGATTAATTTGCAAAATTCTTTGTAAGCCAATACATGATGCACTCACTTAAAGATTTTAGATTTTGGTAATGCGGTGAGTATTAAAGCTATTTCTAAAATCATCCAAGTTTCTTGACAAATCTCAATTTCTTCCGTAGGGTATAATTATCAAAAAGACCATATTTTGACTAGTGCAATTTTTTTTTCCTCTTTCAATCCTTTCTCTAAAGTCTCTATTTACCTATATATTGGGACAAATTTATCAAAGAATCAAATTACTTGATGTCCCCAATATCCTTTTGATTTATGTGACAACAATTAAGCCTTCACTTTTATGACTAATTGAGAGATACATGAGTTACAGAAAGAAAAAAAAATTGATTGTAACATCATACATCGAAGACATTCAAATTATTCTATAAGCAATGAAAAAAATCTTTTTCTTGAGAATTGATTTTCAATGGAAGTATCCATATTTGATATGAGAAATTACCATTTTTTATATTGCTTTCACAAAAATGAATTTGTCCATTTGCTACCACTTTGACTCTGTTGTTTTTTTAATAAACCCTAATCAAATATCACCTTTCACATTGTAAGGGTAAGCATAAATGTGAATCTCTTCGAGAAAATATTAGATCTAAAGTTAAAGACAAAGAAATAATGCCTAAAATCAAAAGGTAAGTTTGTAGTAAATAGATTTTCAAATTTTTGAACTCAATTTGTCAAAAACAGAAGCATGCAAGAAAAAAAAAAGAGAAGTAAAAATGAAAAAATGGAAAGAAGAAAAAGGAAAAAGGTGAATGCATGTTTCAACAAAAAAAAAAAAGGAAAATGTATTTAAGAAAATAAATTATTCTTGGTTTGATTACTCTTAAACACATATTTTTGGGCCTATTTATCTTTTTTTCAAAACCCTGAACCTCAGCCTACACTATACCATTTGAAAAACCTATTTTGATCAAGTGTGGATATCTAAATTAAAGAACTTTTCTTTGGGAAATCACCATTGCTATAAATTTTAAATTTTCAAATACATGATAGAATAGTAAAATAAATTGAATGAAGCTCTAGAATGAAAATTGAAAAAAGAAGTCTAAAGCAAGATTGAAATTTCAAAAGCAACTCATGCAACTTCATTAGAGGAATGGATTTTGAATGAACCAATGGACAATAAAGAACTTTAAGAAATCCAAGAAAATTAAACCCAGTTTGAAGATTTGTTTTGAAATTTTAACATTTCTTTGTTTTCCAAAAATTTGAACCTATCATCATTAGTCTTGACATTTGTTAAAATGTCATATCAAGAAATTAAGAGAGTTTAAAAATGGATTATGCTTTTAAAAAATAACTTTTTATTTGTAATTCTAGATGAAGAATGCTAATTTGCTTTTTCCTATCCAATGTTAAAGCCTTTTTTGTTAATTAAGATCTTAATGTGTAAAATCATTTCATCCTTTTGAAAAGATCATGATGTGATTTACTTCCATAATTCTATGTAGTAATCACCAATTTCTAAGAGATTCAATCATATGTTTTCAAAAGAATATGCATTTTTGTTTTTATCATGGAATAGTTATGTGAGGCAATTTCTTTTGTTGTCATTTGAAAATTTATGACAATAAAATGAACATATTAGGGAATTTGTTATAAAGACATTCATATTTGAATTTATATGAATTGGTATTATTGAGAAATAGGTGATTTCATATCACTATGATAAGAGTGACTTTTCAGGACAAGGAGAATGTCTAAAGTAAAGGATTAGAAAAGAGAATGTCTAAAGTAAAGGATTAGAAAAGATCCATGAATAAAAGAAATGGTTTTCAAAATAAAATGCTTTAAATCAAAAGAAATTGGTGAAAGATTGTTGCAATTCATGAAAACTAGTTGATAGAACTTGTTAGTTAGTTCTAAAGATTAGTGATAAAGAATGAAAAAAGGCTTAAAGATCTTTTACCATAATTAAAGGTGCATGACATGGGTTTTTAATTGCATTACATGTATGGCATTCATTGCATTCATTACATATTTAGTTATAATAAAATGAAAGTTTTGGACTTTGGATTTTGACAAGGTTGAGAATTTTCAATATGAGATTTTGATTCTCAATTGAGGAAATTTTTCAAAAATGAGATTTTAATTCACAGTTGGAAAATGCAAAGATGAGGTTTTGACTTTTGACATTTGATTGATGAGAACTTTCCAAGATAAGATTTTTAATGGTGTTAAGCTTTAATGTAAGTTTTTAAAATGTCAAAGCCTCTGTTGAGGAGGATCATTTATCTCAAATAATTTTTTTTTTTAAGTTTCAAAGTATCTATTATGGAGAAGTTTTTTAAAAAATGAGAACAATTTTTAAAACCTCAAAACATGATCTAAAATACCTTCGTGCATGATTTATAAAACCTCAATGCATGATTTTTAAAACCTTCTAGTACCTTTTTAGATAAGATTTTTAAAAGTTTCAAAGATTTTATTAAAGAGCAGCTTTTTCAAAAATTAAAACAATATTTCAAACCTACGAGCATGATCTTTAAAACCTCTAGACATGTTTGTAAGATCTTTAGACATAATTTTTAACAACTTTTTAGTATCTTCTTCAAAAACCTCTAGGTATCATCTTTAAAAATATATAGGTATCATTTTAAAACTTTCAAGTATCTTTCTCAAAAACCTCCAAATATCATCTTCAAAATCTTTTAGGTATGATTTCTAAAATCTTTACATTTCTTTTTTAAAACTTTCAAATATTTTTTTTAGAACCTTCAAGTATTATCTTTAAAACTTTTGAGTACCATTTTCAAAATCTTCGAGTATCACTTTTTAAAACTTCAAGGTACATTTTGAAAACTTTTGAATTTTTTTTTCAAAACCTAACAGTATATATTCAAAACTTTCGAATATTCCTTTCAAAATCATCTTTTCAAATCCTTCGAGTAATGATTTTTAAACTATTTTTTATTAAGATTTTTAAAGTTTCAAAATCTCTATTAAGGAGGAACCTTATAGATTTTTTTTTTGTAATTGAAAAAATGAATATCTTTTATCTTTATACAATTCTTGTTTCACAAAAAATGTGTAAAGAAGGATAATTGTAAACACCTTATTTTGTCTAGGATATTTTAAAACGATTGGACCTTGAATTTGACATTGGACTTCAATTCATAAATGAGATTTAAGCTTAAGAATTAAAAGACCCAAAATACTTCCTTTTATTTTAATTTTTTATATTCATTTTCATTTGTATTTATTTTATTTTTCAATCAATCAAAGTTAAAGAGTCAAAACAAAAAAAAAAAATCTGAAAATCTAAAAAATAAAAAAAAATCAAAATCAAATCTTTTTTAATCAAATTGAAATTTTTAAGAATTCAACAAAAGGAAATCAAGAAATTTTGAAAAGACGTGGGATTGAAGGAAAATCAAAAGAAATCAGAATTAAATTTTTCAAGTAGATTCGATTGTTTTTTAATTAATTCAAGAACTAAAATTTAGCATAAAGGTCCTATATACAAGAAGATCACTTATGGAGCGTTTGGTTCGTGAAATGATAAATTTCGAAAAAAAAGTGTAATTTTCGATAAAGTATGATACCGAGAGTTTTCTTTCATTTTTAGAGTATCTCGTGTTCATATTCACTTGTTTGGTTAGGAAAAATTCATATATATTAAATCCTAAATAATTACTATAATCTTCTTGATATATATGATGATTGTTAACCATTTAAAAAATATAAGGAGATTATTTAAGCTATTTTTGGTCCAAAAATACCTTAAGTAATCTTAATATTTTTTAAAGGAAATTATTTAAGGTGTTTTTTATTTAAAAACGCCTTAAATAATCCGTAATATTTTTTGAAAGGGGACTATTTAAGGCATTTTTTATCCAAAAAAACTTAAATAATCCCTTTTAAAATATATTAATGGATTTTTCAGAATATTTTTAGACTAAAAATACGTTAAATAATACCCTTTAATTTTTTTATTTGGCTTATTTAAGGCTTTTTTGGACAAAAAGGCCTTAAATAATCTCTTTTAAAATGTCTTTCAAAAAATTGGAAAACGTTTAAAATGCTAGATGGAAGGATCAAACTTATGACTTTATGGTTAACAGCCATATGCTTTAATCGACTAAGCTATTTTAGTGTTTTTATATTTTATCTCTTAAATCTTATAAGTAATGAAAGAAATTATTTAAGGTGTTTTTAATAAAAAAAGGTTTAAAAAAATTTGCTAATACATTTAAAGGGGATTATTTAAAGCATTTTATCCAAAATGCCTTAAATAAGCCCAATAAAAAAAATTGAAAGATATTATTTAAGGTGTTTTTAGACTAAAAGCACCTTAAAATATCCTGATAAATTTTAAATGAGATTATTTAAGATTTTTTTTTTCAAAAATACCTTAAATAAGCCAAATTTAAAAAAATTGAAAGGTATTATTTAAGGCATTTTGGACTAAAAATATTTTTAAAAATCCACTGATGCATTTTTAAAAGAATTATTTAAGGTATCTTTATCCAAAAATGCATTAAATAAGCCAAATAAAAAAAAATTTAAGGGTATTATTTGAGGTATTTTTAGACTAAAAATATCATAAAAAAATTCACTGATATATTTTAAAGGAGATTTTTTAAGGTGTTTTTGTCAAAAAATACCTTAAATAAAGAATAAAATAATCTCTTTCAAAAAATCAAAAGATATTATTTAAGACGTTTTGGTTCAAAAATACCTTAAATAATCTCTTTAAAAAAAATTAAAAGGGTAATAATTATTTCATATTTTTTTATTCGAGTCAAATTTAAAAATAACGCTATTTTTTCCTTATCCTATAATACCATAAGAAGAGTGGGTCTTTGATTTCGAGACTTTAAGTACTATTGAAAATTTATCAAATTTTTTTAAAATCATATTACCTTGAATTAAACATTGAAATCAAATATATAATAGTAAAATTTAAAAAAAAAAGTGTGATTGCCCCGAACTAAATGATCCCTTAAAAGCACAAAGGGAGAAAGGGAAAGCAATTCAAAGCCAAATTGGTAAACCCAAAATACCTGATCAATAAACCCAAGTCAGCAGCAATAACCAGCGAGAACGCAATTTGACAGCCACACATTCAAGAGAAATTCAAAACAGATTCACCAAACCTAAACATGCAAAATCAACAAGCATAATTCTAACAAACCCATACCCAGAATCCAAAGAATAAGAATCACAGAAGCAACAAGCATGAACATAAGCAATCACCCAAACACAAAAAAAATTCAACAGTAAAAATAAATGTCATTCTTTTAGCGAAAATTTTTCGAGTTTAGTTTGCTTTTTGGGTTGTTTTCTTGACTTTATCTTTTTGGAGAAAGAAAGAGTTTTGTGACTAGAGCTGGTGGTCATTAACAATGGTTGGAGCTGGTTTTGGTCTAGAGGTTTTGGGTCAGTTTTAGAGGTTTAGGGAAAAAAAGGAATGATGCTGCTAGTGTGAAGAAGATACTGATGGTTGGCAGGCGTTCCGGCAGCAAACGGTTGCAACTTTGATGATAGATTTAGGCTAAAAATACTAGTTTGAAAAACATAAGGGGGAGCTTAAGGTTATTTAGGGTTTCACGGTAACCAGTGTACAGCGGTAGGTGGTGGTTGGGTGACAAAAGCAACGGTGGATTCGTTGGATTTTGAGAAGGTTCACTGGTACTAGATTCTTTTAGTTATGATGGTTTTGTTATAAAAATTTTGAAAGAATGAAGAGAAAGCTTTAGCTTAGAAAGAGAAATCGAAGGTGAAAATGAATGGACAGTTTTTGTTTTTGTCTTTAAAGTCAAAAGGAAAACGACGCCGTTTGAGATAAAGAAATGAATTTTTTATGACCTACGCTTCAACCTGAGTAGGTCTGACTTATTTGTAGGTATTTTATTTTTGTACTTGTTTTTATTTTGTTTTATTTTTATTTCATTTTTTTATTTTTATTTTTAGTATATGATTGAATCTCTTGCTTAATAATGAGACAGAAGAAAAAGAAAATAAAGGTTTCGATTTGAATTTTTATGTTACATGATTTTTATATCATTGTATGATTTTTTTTTTATAATTTTTCTTATATTATTGCATGATTTTTATTATACTATTTCATGATTTTTTGTATGATTTTTATTATATTATTTTATGATATTGTTGTATGATATTATTACATGATTTTATTATGATATTATTACATGATATTTTTATAATATTTTTATAATATTTTTATGATACATTTTGCATAATATTTTAAAGATATTTTAATGAAATTATTTTTTCTAAGATAATTTTTATTGTACTTTTGTATGAAATTATTTTATAAATAAATAAAATGGATGAAGCCTCTTTAAATAAATAACAAGTTTATCTTGAATATTTTTAGAAGTGAAAAAGTTTTTTGGTGAAAATTTAAAATTTTTTTAATATTTAAATATTAAAATTAATAAAATTATTTTTGATTAAAACTTAAACGATGTAATATAAAATTAATTTGTTATCAATTTATGAATGTTATAAGGGTGTTAAAAACTTTCTAAATAAAAAAAATTTTATGATAACTTTTTTTTTTGTTTAATAAACGAATTTTCGAACTTAAAACAACTTAAATCCATGTTTAAAACACAAATCCAAAGAGGAATAAAAAATTACCTCAGCTCAACTGTTGGTTCCGTCCGTTGACTGCGACCAAACCTTTCTCGAAAATCGGGAGTGATACATGGATTAGACTGATTTTAACCTCGGTTGTTGGTAAGAGTATTTTTGTAAATGCTATTATGATTTTAATGGGCTATTTTTAAAAGAATAGTTGTATTTCACTGTAAATTGTAATGAGCAAACAAATGGCTGTATATATAAATTTTCTTTTGGCTGAGACTAATTTGAAGTTGGTATGGGTTTGTGACTCTCGTTGATATGATCGAATATTGAAGAAAGTTTTCAAATCAAACAGGTAATCTCATAACGAAAACACAAATTGCAGACAATATCGTAAGACTATCCGAATGAAACGCCCTCTCAATGTCATTAAGTTTTCAAATACAGGAGTTGTTTAGCGTGAACCAGTGTAGACCTATCATCTCTTACGTGTTCCAATGCTGAAGAAAGGAATATCAGCTTCTGCTTTTGGTGATGATAAGCCTAGAATCGGTTGCCCTCCAGGACCATTTGGTTAGAAGGCACAAGATGCTCGTACCATCTGACCGCATCACAATCTTCTGAATTTTTTTTTTCTTGGTTATAATAATTTGAATCCTATGCATCTATCATTTTAAACTTATGGAACATTCAATCACCCAATTTAAAAATTCTAAAATCTTTAATTGAATATATTCCAATGTCCACGTGAAAAAGTTGCTTTTGACATCAATCTAACGGATTGTAACATTGTAAGGATCAAAATCGTTGGTTTATTCCCCAAGTATGAAACAAATTAAAGCATCATTTGCACTATCAATAAAGCAATAAAAAATTACACTTTTTATTCACTTTTAACATTTGACTAACAGGCTTTCATTTTCTTTTTTAGGAAAAATTTCGTCTAACATAATGTAGGTTGGAGGAAAAAGGAAAAAAAGAAAAAAGAAAAACCAACAGTGGAGACTTGTCAGTTGTTATTTGTTACCTAGAGGGATTGCAGGTGTTATCTTACTTGAGTGATTTTGCAATTGTTTATTGTCTTCCATGGTCCCTCTATTATCAGGCTGGGATTTGAACTGGCCATCAGATTTAGGGTAGGCATCGGAATTCTTCGTGTCTGGAGGTAAAACCTGGTACAGAAATCGGTGAATCATCTCATAACTGGTAAATGTAATGACAGCTGATGGTGTCGTTCTCAATAAATTAGTCGCACAGCCTCGGTAAAAGCCAGGAAGACCTTCCTTTCGGAATACCTTCCTAATGCAATCAATCACCCCTGCATACTGGACCTCGGAATTTCTGACGTGCCCTTGCTCTTGAAGCCTTGATCGGATAACCTGTTGATATGAAATTGAAGAGTAAGAAAAACTTCAGAAGAAAAAGAAGCACACATGATCCGCAAAACATGAGAGTTTATTCAATTATGGTGATCCCACTGGAGTTTAGTAAAAACAGCAAAGTCCAACAAAAACATACCTCGTGTGGGTAAGTCATAATAGAGGCAAGCACTTTAGATATTGAAGAGGCAATTGCAACATCAGCAGGACTTAGATGACCAACAGGTGTACTGTCTGAAGAAAACAATAAAAATTAATATGACCAGAATCACCAACTAAATAAATTATTCGGCAGAGGATTCCGTGAATCTTATTTCCACAAACTAGAAATCACATAAAGAGAGAATAGTGATAACTTATTTACCCTTTTTTGCCATATAGGATTTTATCTTTTCATATACTGGAAACTGAATTGCCACATGACTAATCCCAGCCAAAGAAGGTAAAACTCCACTGTGTCAAATAATGAAATAAATTATGGCACCAATGGTAAATGGAAAACAAAAATGTAAATCAGATTACAATTGAAGCAAATATGCCTGCAAATATTCCAAGCATAGTATTACTATCACTAACCTATACAACCCCCGTAAGCCTTCCTCATGTACAATCCTTTGTAAAGCAGAAAGTACACCAGTATAGGGAACCACGCCTGTTCTCATTCCCTGTGTCTAAACAAAGACCAAAAGAAAAAAGCATAACAATGAATGCATAAAGAATGACCATATCGATATATCCACAATAATATCTAATACATATGACATCCTAGGTAAGTCACAGGGATTTTGTGACTTTTAAAGCATCAAAGGCAGCTTCAACAAGGAAATGGCAATCAGATGAACACAACAAACAAATCTAATCTTGCAGTCATATCCCAGAGAAGATTACTACTTCAAAAGGAGAAGAAAACATCCAATGATTATTGCATGCAATCAATGTTCTTACAGTTTGTCATGATATAACCTTCAATAACGTCAATGCAAAGAGATGCAGCCAAACCAACAGACATTAAATGTCCTTGAAAGTGACTACTACATTAAAATAATGACATAGTAGAGCATTTCTGACTATAATGAATGAAGGTGAAAATCCCACTGCCTCAATTCACAATGGGGAAACCAAATCAGTCTTCACTCATCAATAAATCTTAGAAAATAAATTACTAATCCAGTTTTATTGGAGGTAATATACTTGCGGAATAAATTAGAATAGGCCTTATTCAACATTGAAACCTAAAAGAAAGTTAAACGTTATTGATCACACTCATCCCCTTGCCAGGAAAGGCTTACTTTTATGGTTTAAACTAAGCCTCCTAGGCCTATGCTTCTGTCAAAGCATTGATAAGGAGTTTGATCCTCCAAACGCCCAGTCATAAACCTTGGTTTGGGTACCTCCAGGAGACAGCAACAAAGAGAAGCATATTCTGTTGCAAAAAGAGAATGTACTCCAATAACCAAAACTAAGTACTAACTGCAGCTACTTAACTCTGAATTGCAAATGCATGCATACATCAATATCAAGGTCATAACAAAGTAAGTATTTTAGAAACAAATGAACATGGTTTAAGCAAAGAGAAAAACAAAATATTATACAGCCACTGATATATTTTACAAGAAACATGTTATCCTCACACATAACACCAAACTTACTTGGAGTCTCGTCTTTACAACCCACAATGGGTTCGTTGTGATGGATGTGGCAGCCCCAGCACCAGCAGCAGCTACCATGTTTGCCCCAATTGTGAGTTGCCCACCATTATCATCTGCAACATATCAGTTTATAATTATAATAGAAATCAAAACAACTGAAGCTGGATTGGCAGAAGACATGTCAATCTTCAACTCTAGAGAAAATTACAAGAAGAAGAACCAACCATGTGAAGTGAGTAGGCCTTTTAGTTGCTCATAAAGTGCAAAATACACCTACATATGAAATGAGAGTTTCTGTTACTTTGCAGGAGACCAAAATTACATCAAATGGTATTTCACGTTGTAGTTGGAATCAATATTTTCCAAGAAACTTATGGTTTATAAACATGGTAGTTGGTCACTTAACTTTCCCTCTATGATACTAATTGGTTACTTAATTTCCCTCTATGATGCTAATGATAGGTTAAGGAGACTAGCAAGAAATCTCACACAAAATAGCCTCTTTTTCATGGCATATTAAGAAAATTAGTTACAAAAATCAGGTTAAAGCCAGTTTCAAATAGTAGTAGGAGATTATAGGCGGGAAGGGTAAAGTTTGCCTTTGAGGGTGGCTATGTTATATGGAGTCTTCAGTTTGTCCTAATGTACCAATGTCTGACACTTCTTGGACACTTTACTGTTCATAAGGGCATGCCACTTTGATTCTCAAAATTAATGTAAAAAATTGCCAAAGACATAGTGTACCAAAATCCAACACCCTATCCTGTATCCATGTAACATAAATCATAAGCAACTCAAAAACTCAAAAGAAAAACCAGATAAGTCATAAACTAATATAAAGAGAAAACAAAAATCCAACACTTTAATAAGTAGCTTCCAATTAATTGCTTTCAGGATCAAAAGATTACTTACCGCCCAGTTTGGAAGTAGAGCAATTATTGTTGGTGAAAGCCCACGATACAACCCCCTAAAACCTTCATTTTTTATTATATGCTGTAAACTTGTTATAATGACACTGCCTGAGTATGGACCAAAAAAGGGGCAGGAAAAAGAGTCACTCTTCAGCAATCATTAACTCATGCACAAACTATTTCACCCAATATTTGAAATCCAACTTCAAAATGTTTAACATCTAATCAAAACTATATCTATCAACCACTCTCAATCTTGCGAGCAGTTCATATGACCAAAATCTATCAGACCCACAAACTCAGCTATTAAGAACAAATCATTCTTTACCTAAGATTTGAGACACAATGTACTCAATATCAGAAAAAGACAGCTCTTTTACTAAAAAAATTTGCAAATGGTTCAAATTTTGGTGTGGAGCAGCCCAACAAAGCAAGAATTTTGCATTCTAAAGATGAACCTAGGAAAACACTTAGGTAGAGTTTGGTATCATTTTCAAGATCACCACAATTATTTAATTGCCATAGTGATAAGATCATTAAGGTGATTTGATTACCACTGATCTTAGATTACTATATTTGATACAATATTATAAATCATTGGTGTTTTTAAATCACTTTGTTTGGTATTATATGAAAAAATAATTTATACAATACAAAATATCCAAGATAACCTTTCAAAATATATATTTAATACTTATTGAATCAATAATTTATAAAATAATTAAACGTTATTTTATACAAAACTACACAGCATAAATTAATTTTGATAAAAATAATTTCTAAAATAATTATTAGATAAATTCATTATATTTTTTCTAATCAATATAAATTTAAAACATAAAACTTTTTAAAATAAGTGATTAAAAAAATCAAAATTTTTAAAATTTTTAGTGGCCAACTTATTGAGTTAATGTTAACTACATTTTTCGTCAGGATACATTAGTTAGAAAATAATATTGAAAATTACTTTCCTATGGCGATAAAACTTTCCCATCCTTTAGGTTGGGAATCAAATCACTCCCCAAGATAGTGATTTTATCACCCTAGTGATTTAAGATCACTGACACTAGAATTTTTAAATTGCTACCAAATAAGGTAATGCAATTATTGAATGCAGATCATTGTCGTTTTTTAACAGATCACCCCATACCAAACACTCTCTTAGATGACAAAATCTGAATTCACACACTAATATCAACCCTTTATCTCAATTACTGTTCTCAGCTTATCCAATAATCCAGTATCATAGAAGTAATAAATTCAAACCCAGTACTTGTGCTAAAACATGCACAGCAATTAAAATCAGTTTAAAAAGCACAGAATGTACAATACCTCTAGCTCCAGATTGTGAAGCTTCAGGGAGTCCATGAACCTGTAACCTTGTTTTGATTACATCTAAAGGGCACACAAAAGTGGCTGCAATTGCACCTAAAATTTTGCAACCAAAATCATCAAGAAATCGCAATTTCAAAAGTAACACTCATATTTTCAACTCTCTTTCCAAACACCCATAATCCAAGAATAAACCATACAAACCCTCATTTGATCACTTAAAACATCCACTAAATTTCTAATCTTTTGGCAAGAACTGATAAAAGAAACCCTAAAAGAATAAATCAAAAAAAGCAATCAAGTAAAGCTAACCTGCAGTGGCACCTGCACCCGCGTGGCAGATAAATTCTCTGATGCTTATGGTTTGAGGATGAGAAGATTGCCCACCTTGCCTACTACCCATCTTCAAAACCTTCAATTCTTAAAAACAACTCAAAAACATTTAAGCAAAAAAACCCATCAACGATCTATATATATAGCTTCTGTCTGTCACATTGAAACCCTCTCCGTTCGTGAAAAACGTTCTGGATTTTAGCTTGTTTGAAGGGTTAAGACCGTGTTGGACACTTCCACTTTTAGTTTTTCTTGAATGAGTCTTGGGTGAGAAATTGAATTTCAAGGAGTGACTTTCGTTATATTTTTCTTCGTTCTAAGCAGGAATATTAATGGGAAAGTGCAAATAAGTTTTGGCCTATAATGTCTTGTTGACATTTGGATTTTGTGTCAAGTAAAATTAATGAAGTTTCAGAGAAAAAGTTTTGCTTTGCCTGCTTTGTTTTGCCCAGTTCTTTTCTTTGCATTTGTTCTGGGCTTGCTGAGAAGCTGATGTTGTCAAATCAAATTTGCTTTCCACTCCCCACTTTTAAGAATCAATAAATAATAGTAAAAAAATAAGAAATTTGATTTGAGTCGCCACATTTTTAAAGATAATTAATTTTTATTTTATAATAAAATCTCAAACACTTTTATAAAAATTAATAAAAATACTAAAAGTGATTAAAATTTTTTTTATAATAAATAAACAGTAATTTTTTATGTTTAAATAGTTATATCTAATCAAACCATCTGATTTTTTTTTGTTTAAATAGCTATGATAGTCCATTATATATGAACAATCATAATTATTTTTATTTAAACAAGTTTATTTAAAATATAAATAAATATTATTAGTTTTATTAATATTTTAAAAATTAATGAAAATTTTTTTGAAAAAATTATCAAATAAACAAGCGTCCAAGTACCATTTTTGTAATTTTTAGTATTATTGACACACTAGAATAATTTTTAGCAAGCTCAATTATTTGATCCACTTTCAACACTTAATCTAATTATTAAAAACACATGAATAACCTCTTTTACAAGGCTTTAAAAGATCTTTCTTAGGAACATCAATACGCGACATTTTAAACTATAAATAATATTTTTCAAACTCATTAAAAAACAATATCGCTAAAAAATAACATTGCTTGTTTAGGTCATTTTCTTTAGTAAGCTTTTCAACTCATAATAAAAAAATTTTTCTTTTACCAATTTAGATTATTTTTCTTTTCCTCTAAACTTTTTTTAGAAAAAGGAAAATAAATGCTGCATAATATGTATAGTATTTGAATTGAATAAACTGAAAGAACAATAAATTTTTATATTTTTTTATGAGAAGGGATCAATTTATATTAGTGTAAAATTGTTTAATTTTATATCTTTTTCTAATCATCAATTTCAATAGATCAAAGAAATGAATTTAAACTATTTTTTTAATTTGCTTCTTTCGTTTTTGGACTTATTGAAATCAATATTAAATTTTAATTTTACATTGATATAAATTAATCTTATCCCTTTTCTAATTGTGATAACAAATTGCAAAAAGAAGTAACAAAAAAATTAAAGAGATAGTCATATTGTTTCTACTTCCTTTTTTTTTTCTTTTTAAAATTTGAGATATTTAAATAGAAGTAAAAGAATAAAAATTTAATTAAAACATTTTCATAAATTTTGCATATTTTTGTGATGAATTTGATAAAATAAATGTAGAAAATTTGGATTTTTTTTTCATTTCTTATGACATTTTTTTTTACAATCCATAAAGTTAGAGATAAATATTTCCCTTTGGAACCCATTGTCTTCCGTTTTCTAAATTATTCTTTTTCTTATCTTAATTTCTCATGCCAATTTATAAACTTAATATTAAAACTAAGTTCAAATGATACTGTCTATAAGCTTCAAATTAGAGTTTAATGGATTGCCAAGAGCTTATTTTGAGTTTTTCTTTTTTTCTTTTTGCAAAAGAAAAAATTAATTAAAAATGATCATTCTCAAAAAATTACAAAAATAGAACCTTAATTGATTGTCAATTAAAAGCCTGCTTTGAGTTTTTTATTTTTGCAAAACAAAACATAAAATCAAGTAATCAATAAAATTCCATAATTATTATGACTGAGCAATCACCCCTTTCGGTTAATTCAATTCAAAAAATCCAAAAACCGATTTAACCAATTTAATCAAAAATAAAATCGAGCCAACTGAATAGTAATACAAAACTGAGAAAACCAAACCGATTTAATCTTGTTGGTTTCAGTTGATTTTTTTAATATAATCGATTTTGATTTTTTATCTCCTATATTCAACTTTTAATGTAATTCATATAATTCATAAACACAAGCTTCATAAAATCTAAACACAAACTTCATAAACACAAGCTTCATACACAATAAATTTAGTCTTAAGCTGTAAATTAGTGAGCAATACACAATAAGTCTATGTATCAAATAACATCAGTAAGCAACACATAAGCTTTATAAAGTTTAAGTCAATGAGCAACACATAAGCTCTAAATCAATGAGTAATACACAAGCTCTAAATCAACGAGCAATACTCAAATAAAATCTAAATACAAGCTTCATAAACTCTAAGTCTAAGTCTTAAACAACATAAACACATACAACATATAGCAAATTACAATCCATAAAGTCTAATTCTCAAACGATATTCAACAAGCAAGACTAAACATTTTAACCAATTACAGCACTTAAATTTCAAGTCTCAAACATTAATATCTAGTAGGTAATAGGTAACAGGCAACAGTGGGCAATAGGTAACAGGTAGCAACAAGTAAAAGGTAGCGAGCAGCATGCAACAACACCCTTTAAAATTTCAGTAATAAATAAATAAAAGCAAAACACAATTCAATGAAAAATTATTCCTTTTAAAACTATCTAAAACAAAAAGATTTAATTGTGTGGATCATATTCAATGTAAGTTATGCCAATATTACCTTAATTGATTAATAAACTTTATTAACCAATTACAGGGTTTAATCTAATTTTGGATAAATCTAAAAGTACATAAAAAATAAAAAAGTTGGCTTTAACTAAAAGATTTAAAGAAATAAGCATTGAAAAATAATGATATAAATAAAATAATTACCCAAATCAATCTTGTCAAGTTGTTCCACTTCATTCTCTAAGGCATTTGGATCAAAATCTGTAGCTTTACATAACCAATCTTGAACACAAATAATAGCTTGAACAAGTTTAAAAGTTAAAGAACTCCTATATGCATCTAGCACACGATCACCAATGCTAAAAGTAGATTCAAAAGTAACTGTAGATATAGAAGTCGCCAATACATCACGAGCTAAATGGGAAAAGAAAGGAAACCTATGCCTATTAAGTTTCTACCAAAGAAGAACATCAAAGTCCACCCCCTCTTTAATAGCTTTAAGCTCTTCATTCAAATATTTATCCAACTCTATTTTATTCTCTTCTCTATCTTGTGGTTTCTTAAACCTTTTAAATTTGACCATAACAACTTGTGAGTCATATAGGTCCACAGTTCCAAATTCATTGGTGGATGGTAGTGGTTGACTTGCATGGCTAGTATCACCAACTTGTTCAGATTGAGGTTGCAACATGTTTTTGAATTCATCAAACAACTCAACTATTATTTCTTGCACTTTCTTAATCATCATTGAAATTTGATCACGAGAATATATTTTCATAAAACAAGACTCTATAAATGTAAGTTTTTTCCAAGAATCAAGAACAGAAGCAATATAAAGTAATATATTCATTTTTCTCCACATTCCTCTAATACTTGTCATACGTATCCTTCATTCTCTTAGCCATTACACTCAACTCAACATTAACATTCAATCGCCAATCTTACAAAATACCATAAACACTACATATATTTTCAAGAAAATTGTTAGTGGTGACATATGTAGAACCCAAAACTCTAACTATGAGATTGTAAAATTTTGAAAAAAAATGCATAATTTTCTAACACTGGCCCAATCATTTTAATCGGGCACCCCATATCTTAATAATAGTTTAGTTCCATAATAAAGATCAATATCATCAAATGCCTTAAAAGCCATTTGAAATTTTTAAGCTTATTCCAACATCAAGAAAGTAGAGTTCCACCTAGTATTAACATCCAAGCCTAAGAAGCTCTTACTTTGAATATGTTCATTGACAATACACTCTTTGAACTTGGCTAACCTAGAGAGTAATTGTCTCACATATCTAATTGCCCCTCTAATATGAGCAACTGAATCAATTAATTCCTTTAACCCATCACTCATAATAAGGTTAACAATATGAGTAATGCATCTTAAATGAAGATATTTACCTCATACAATACTAGTTCTTGCATTATTAAATTTTTTTTCTCAAGTATGAGATTGTAATATCATTAGAACTAGCATTATCAACTATGATAGTGAGAATTTTATCAATCCCCCAATCACGCAAACATTTTTCAATTGCCCTTTGTTAAGTTGTTTACAAAACTTTATGGACAAAAGTTTAAAATTTTTTTGTTAAGTTGCCAATCGTTGTTTACAAAATGAGCAGTAAGACACATATAATTGACTCTTTGTATAGAAATCTATATGTCAGTGGTTAGAAATACTCTTATAGTAGACGATTTGAAAAATTGCTTTAAAAATTTTTTTTCATCTATATAAATTTAATAGCAATCCCTAGCAACAGTCTATCATGATGGCATACGAAATCTAAGGGAAGTAATAGACATGTAATGCTTAAATCCTTTAGCTTTAACAAATCTAAAGGGTAATTCATCTATAATAATCATCTTAACTACATCTCTCATAATGGCATCTTGATTAAACTTCTAACTATCTAAAGACATATCTTCTCTTAAGCTTAAAACTAATTCCATTTGGGAAGGATTGCCACTAGCACGAGGCAATTTAGTACAAATACCCATGTGATTCTTTAATGCAGATGCTTCATTTTTTTAGGGTAAGCATAAAGTTCTCCATCACAATAATTGCATCTAGCTTTGAGATCACCATTGTCACTAGTAAATTTGGTGAAATGATCCTATACCTCCGACCATGTGTTAGGTCATTTCTTTTTTGCTTTTGTGCTCACAACTTTACTTTTTGTTTCATGTATGTCTCCTTAACCTTGAGGGATTGATCGAGTATTCGCTTGTGTAGTATCTCTATCACTCATCTTCAATAAAAGAATAATAAAATGCAAGTTTCAAAAGTAAACACGGCTTATACAAACTGAAAAAATAATAAAATAAATGTCCAATCAAATATACATTACATGCTAAAAATAAATGTCCAATCAAATGATAAAATAAATATCCAATCAAATAACAAAAAAATTTTTGTAATTGGATAAAGTCAATCTTGCAGGGTGGTCATGTGGGAGGACAAAAACTGTTAAGCCAAATGGATTTGTCACCATTCAACAGTATTTGTTTTATTCTTAACTTTATTATTTAGCTTTTGCTATAAATTATGTAATTATAGACCTTTTCATGAGATGGAGTTTTTCATTATGTTTATAAATGCGCCATATACCATAAAATAGTTAACGGAAGT